ACAGATGGCTAACATTTTGATTCTATTACTTCTCTTCCTTATCATCTTTCTTCTTCTCACCGCCTTCAAACGCGCAAAGCGGCGGCAACTTCGAGCAATACCCTCTCCTCCTGGTTTTCCTATCATCGGAAACTTACATCAGCTCGGAGAACTACCACATCAGTCTCTATGGAAGCTCTCACAGAAGTATGGTCCTGTGATGCTTTTGAATCTTGGAAAAGTCCCAACAGTCATACTTTCTTCCTCCGAAACAGCAAAACAAGCTCTAAAAGACCATGATCTCCATTGTTGTAGCCGTCCTTCCTTAGCAGGTACTATAAATCATTCCACATACTAAAGTCGTGAATTGTTATCTCAATCATCTCTCACTCCTCAGGGGGAAGAGAGCTCTCTTACAACAACCGGGACATATCTTTCTCTCCTTACAATGATTACTGGAAAGAACTAAGGAAGCTCTGTACTCAAGAGCTCTTCAGTGCTAAAAATATACACTCAACTCAACACATCAAGGACGAGGAGGTCAAGAAACTGATCGATTCAATCGCGGAATCAGCTTCTTTAAAGAGTCCAGTTAACTTGAACAAGAAGTTTCTTGCTTTAACTGTAAGTATAGTATGTAGGACAGGATTTGGTGTGAGTTTTGAGGGAACTGTGCTTAGCAGTGACAGATTCAATAAAATAGTCCGTGAAGCATTCGAGATGTTGGGAAGTTTCTCTGCTACAGATTTTATTCCGTACATAGGTTGGATCATCGACCGGTTCGCTGGTTTGCAAGGGCGGAGAGAAAAAAGCGTGCGAGATCTCGATGCATTCTATGAACAAGTTATTGATTTGCATAAAGAGGAAAAGGAACTAGGAAGTGAAGATTTTGTTGACTTGCTCTTAAGATTGGAGAAAGAAGAAGTTGTTGTTGGAAATAATAAGTTCACAAGAAACAATATTAAAGCAATCTTGATGGTAACTAATAAAATATTCACAATCCACTGGTAAAATTTTTTGTAACAATACATGAGATTCTGACTTAGTAATATGTTCTTGTAACAGGACATTCTTTTAGCGGGGATAGAGACTTCTGCAGAAACCATGACATGGGCGATGGCAGAACTTGCGAGGAATCCACGAGTAATGGGGAAAGTTCAATCCGAAATCCGAAACAAATTTAGGAACAGAGAACTAATCAGCTTCGAAGACATAGAGCAGCTCCATTACCTGAAAATGGTGATTAAAGAAACATGGAGGCTACATCCTCCAGCACCTCTTCTTCTCCCAAGAGAAGTAATGTCTGAGTTTGAGATCAATGGCTACACGATGCAACCCAAGACACAGATTCATGTCAATGTATGGGCTATCGGGCGTGATCCCAATACTTGGAAAGACCCAGAGGAGTTTATTCCCGAGAGGTTTATTGATAGTAACATTGATACAAAAGGACAGAACTTTGAGTTGTTACCGTTTGGAGGCGGTAGGAGAATGTGTCCTGCCATGTACATGGGGACAACAATGGTGGAGTTTGGTCTTGCGAATATGTTGTATCACTTTGACTGGAAGTTACCAGAAGGCATGGCGGTTGAAGATATCGACATGGAAGAAGCTCCTGGACTCACTGTCAACAAGAAAAATGACCTTGTACTTGTACCAGAGAAGTATTTGGATAACTGAACTAAATTCATCATGAGATTACAGAATAAAGTGTAGCATCGATTATACCTAAACAGAACATGCAATCTGATGCTCCTCTGTTTCTTTAGTAAGCCAGAGAATTATGTGTTTAAGGAAATGTGTAAGAGATTCTTTCTAATTTGTGAAATTTGCTTTTGGCCATGAAGATGTTACGTAAATTACAAATCACACACAAAGAAATAAATGTAACGTAAGGTGCACGTCAACTTAACAATTATCCTCACTATGAAAATTTACAATTAGGTTTCAAAAGAACTATCTTCTACATAATATAACACAGATGTTTCACAAGGATAGTTATAACTGCTATATTAAATTTGAACAAAAGATAATAATAAAGTGCTATATAACACTGGTTCATTAAAACTCTTTGAGAAACAGAGCACACAGAGTAAACAATTAAAAGATAAAAAAAAAATGGCAATTTTTCTTAGTATCCTCTACGTTTTAATGCTCTCCCTCGTCTCCATAATCTTCCTAAAACTGATCAAACACTCAAACTCTAAACTTCTTCTGAGCCCTACAAAGATCCCAATCATTGGAAATTTGCATCAACTTGGAGAATTGCCACATCAATCTCTGTCCAAAACGTATGGTACTCCTGTTAATCAGTGATGCAATTGAAGCTTGGTACAGTTCCAACGGTCTTAGTTTCTTCCTCTGATGACCTCTATTGTTGTAGGTGTCCTCCATTGGCAGGTACTAGGCCTGGGCAAAATAACCGAACCAGAACCGAACCGAAATTTTAAAATACTCAAATAGATCTTAAATTTTAGAACCGAAAGAACCGGAACCGGAACCGAACAGAATTATTTTGGGTACCCGAAAATACCCGAAATATGAGTTTATATCTAAAAATATTAGTTATTTTTAGATCGAATAACCAAAAATACCCGAAATACCAACACATATTTGGAAAATATATCAAAAATACTTACAATATCTAAAAAATACTCGAAAATATCCGAAAATACCCAAAAATATCCAAAATACCTAAAAATATCCGAAAGAAAATATCCGAATTGATCCTAAACTACAGAACCGAAAGAACTGGAACCAGAACCGGAACCGAACCGAAATTGTTTGGTTCCTATATGGATCCTAAACTCTAAAACCGAAAGAACCGAAACCGAACAAGAACCGAATGGGTACCCGAACTCCCAAGCCTAGCAGGTATGTAAACTATGCGGATATCAATCATGATCGGATAATATATTGCTAGACATAGCTTGTCAAAACAACATTGATAAACCACATGAGGCAAGATCATACTAGTGCAGTAGTGCTGAGCTAATCATATCTCATCTCAGTATTTTTTTTTACTTAATAAAAAAAACAAGTGAAACTGACTTCCCTTCGAATTTGGTGACACTTCTAAATAATTTTGTGGTCTGTGGAAGTATGACTAAATACAGGATGTAAGAAATATTTGTTGAAATATACATTATCTTTATATACCAACTTTTATATTTCATTTCAAGCACTATTGTTTTCCGATGGTACCAATATTTTTTTTACACAATATTTTTTTAATGAATAAAAATTTTATTTAACCAAAAAACATATGTTACTGCGTCCTTGATTTAATCTTGTACAAATGTCACAACTTTTGGCACCGTTTTGACTACAGAATTAGGTTTTAACCAGCGATACATCGCGGGATAATTTAATTTTAAAGTTAATATAAAAATATTTTATAAATTGTATCTCCTTATAACATATTTATTTATATTATAATTTACAATTGTTATTAAGTAACGGTATACCACGAGTCTACGAGACAATTATTAATAAACTGAGGATTTAACCCGTATTAAAGCGGTATATAAATATTGATTCAAATTCGTCCGCCACATAAATCCTTTCCGAAATATAACCCGTTCCGTAATTTCTTAACCCATCCCGTGATTTATTTTTATTTTAAAATTTAATGATTATTTATTATATATAAAAGTTTACAAATCATATCATTCTCTAAGAAATTTATATTTTAATAAACTGAAGCGGCATGTTAATGATATTTAATATTTTATAAATATTGTTATTATGTAACATTATACCACGGGACAATTTTTGGTTTTATACAAAAACCCGTCCCGCCAAATCCGTCCGGCTAAAAAACTCATTTATTTTATTAATGTTGATCTTATTTATGATATGATTCTGAATCATTGTCTAAATATTTTAATCGATGTAGAACGTTGAACACACATTTTCGTCAATTAGATAATATATGTCTGTTTTTAAAATTTCGAATCACAGTATATGCAGAAAAAAAAATTGATTTTTTTTTTTTTTACTTTATGTATTATATGATGATTCAAAAGAGTTAAAAACAAATCAAACAAAGATGATAGGAGAATCATAATTCTAAATCTTAATCAAATCTTCTAAATATCTAAATTATTAAATATGGAATATCCGGTGTATGAGTTGGCCGTTGGGTTAAATATAACCGACCCAACAAATTTTTTGTGAAGGATTTTAGAAAACGGGTCGGATATCCGATTAACCCAGAAGCATTTTTACCCACCCGTCACCAAAGTGTAACAAAAATACTAGTATAGATTGTGATAGAATAAATATTATTGAAAATTGGCTTTAACGACTCATAGTAATTTGTTTGCAAAATCCATCTTGCTCTTCATATTATTTAATTTCGAATAAAAACAACAAATTGCATCGTTTTGAACGATAGGTATTTGGTCATTAAATTTTCCCAAAAAAATGCGACGAACCACTAATATCGCAATTGCATCCTAAATTTGACACGATTCTATTATCACGTTGCAATATTTTGGTAGCAGAAGTGTAGTAGCAAAATAGTTGATTTAAATTGCTAGAAGACGAAATTATGTGATGTCGCCTCCTTGTGTTATAAAAAATCAGCGCAATTACGATCAATGTGAACCATGAGTAAAGATATTTTTTAAGTCTCATTGAAAAAAAGCCAAAACAGACTCCTATTCATGTAAAGTCGAGAAACTCTTGTAAGAATGCAGCATGTTGATACTTGGGTCCACAGTACGCTGAAATGAATATAGACGTTCACGAGTTTATGTCTTTGGTCTTTAGTTAAGTCGAAATCATCGTGCTACCATATATAGCTTAATAGTTAAATTTTCAGTAACTTATAAAACTACAATAAATGTACACTGACCATGCATAACTTTGATACCATAAAAAAAAAAAATGCATGTGAAGAGAAAATTTGACGAATGCACTAAGAGCACCTCCAATGGGAGGTTCTCTTGATAATTTCAAAGAGTTCTCTTCATTAAAGTGATTTAAAAATAAATTAAAACAAGTGATTTTGCAAAGAGTCGACTCTCTTAAGGGAGTTTTGGGAATCAAAGAGAACCGCACACGTGGCAGACTGTGATTGGTTGCTTGAATTTAACAAAAGAAAAAAAAAAACTTGTGTTTTCTTATCAAAACACCGTAGACGCCAACACTCCTCCGATCCCTTTGATTCTTCTTAATCCGATTCCTCCAGGTCCGTTGATTTCTTATCAACTTCTCTCGTTGAGTAATACCATTGAAAACCCTAATTTTTTGATTAATTTCATTTATGGATCGAAGATCCTGGTTCCACATATTGATTTTGTTCTTCGAATGTTAGGGTTAACAACAGCTGCAGCAGCATCCGCTAGCCAAACAACAACGTCGTGTTTGTTTATAAAACGACCTTTTGTTCTTCCTACGCGTAAAGTCTGTGGCTTTAACGGTCTCTGTTTCAACAAGAGAGCTTCCTTAGTGGTGAAATCGAAGAGACCCTTTTCTTGTAATGCCATTTACAATCCTCAGGTTCAGACAATTCAAGAATACCAATCTGAAACCTTTGACTACATAGTTTTCTTTCAAGATGGCTCCGGAAAGAAGTTAGTCTCCAGTTTTTATGTTTTGAATTTGTTCTGATTCGAATTATCTTGTTGATTTTGGACTTAAGGTTTCTTTTTTGACATTTGTGATGTTGATGCAATGTTTGTTAGGTATCTCCATGGCATGATATACCATTGCATTTAGGAGATGGTGTTTTTCATTTTATAGTGGAAATTCCTAAGGAGTCAAGAGCTAAAATGGAGGTTGCTACTGATGAAGCTTTCACTCCTATTAAGCAAGACACTAAGAAAAGGAAGCTCAGATATTATCCGTAAGACAAGATTCTGTATTTGCATCATCTTGTAATGATCTCTTTAGATTGATTAGCTAAAAGACTTTTATGTCTTCATGGACTTTTCTAAAACAGTTAAAAGATAATCTCTGCAATTTTCTAATCATTGAGCATGTGACTGAGATTGTTTACCGTATATGAGACTTGTACAAGAACACAAAAGAGAAGAACAATGAAGGAATTTGAGCTTAACTTAGGTTTCTTGCGTCGACATCTTCTCAGCTTCTCTCATTACATATTGGACATTTTGGAGACATGTTTTTACCATATAATGTTTCTGCAGCTTTTGGTTACTAACTCAAGGCAAAGTCTAACTTAAACCACAACTGGTTACATCACTATTAGTCATTACTTGCTATTTTCTGTAATGAACGTGATTCGAAACATCAAGCTCAAAATGACAAAAAGAATCTATATTTTACCAAGTAATTAATAGATTGCAATTTTGAACAAATTTGTTTTTCTATTTTTAGCGATGGAATAATTTGCAAAACAAACAGAAACTTTATACAAAATATTTTGTATGTAAATGATTATTTTCGGATTGGAATATTCTTCAAAGCGTTTTCTAATATATGGCAAAAATTTGGCACGAAATCAAGATTATTACTAATCGTTATTCTGGTTTTGTTGAGCATATATGGCACAAATTTCGCAACAATCAAACAGTACAACTAATCGTTATTCCGGTTTTGTTTTTGCACATCTTTTAAAAAATGTTTGAAATAATGTATGTTTAATATTTTTATGAATTGCAATAATTATTAAGTTTTATGAAAGAATATTTTTAATAATTTTTTTTTCTTAAGAGAACCTCACTAGAGAACCTACCATTGGACTATGAAAAATTAAAAAAATAAACAAAAGTTCTCATCACACATTTTCAAAAAATTTATAATAAAAAATTTGAGAGAGTCTTATTGAGAGAGCTCCCCATTGGAGATGCTCTAAGACTCAGTTTTTCAAACGAAAGTTCAAAGAAATTGGAACAAATGAAAGCCAGTAACTTTAACTTATGACGTTGTTTTTAGGTTCTAGTTTATCTCTAAATATCTAGGATTTTGCTCATTTAGTTAACGTAAAATAAAGGACCACATATGCATATTTCTATCTTTCGTGAACCCCACTTGGGCCACTTCCATTAATTCAATATTTGTTTTATTAAACAGATGATGACAAGGTAGTTGAAATGTACAAAAGTTGTATAAAATTCCACTGTTCATGTCATTATTGATGTAACGTTTGTAGTATAATAGAAAAAAGAAGAAACAAAAAATGTCAAACGTTAGATATCGTAGGGTAGCTCGGCATTATGTTGTGATCAATTATTCACTAGAAATTTTTTTAAGTCGACTTCATCAATTAAATTAGTGAAGTGAGCATTGCTCAAATTATGTTGTATATTAACCCATGAACTTTCCTCACGAGTCATAACTCACTAAAACAAAATAATATACAAATGGCTAGCATTTGGATTCTTTTACTTCTCTTCTTAATCATCTTTCTTCTTCTCACGGCCTTCAAACACACATATCAGGGGAAACATCTACGAATACCATCTCCTCTTGGTTTTCCGATCATCGGAAACTTACACTGGAGAATTACCACACCAGTCTCTATGGAATCTCTCAAAGAAGTATGGTCCTGTAATGCTTTTGAAGCTTGGAAAAGTCCCAACGGTCGTACTTTCTTCCTCTGAAACAGCAAAACAAGCTCTAAGAGACCATGACCTCCATTGTTGTAGCCGTCCTTCCTTAGCAGGTACTATAAAACTCACAACACATACAAAATGTTATAAATTCTTACTTCATTCCTCTCTCACTCCTCAGGAGGGAGAGAGCTCTCTTACAACAATCGGGACATATCTTCCTCTCCTTATAATGAATACTGGAAAGAACTAAGGAAGCTCTGTGCTCAAGAACTCTTGAGTTCTAAACAAATTCAATCGATTCAACCCATTAAGGACGAGGAGGTCAAGAAAGTGATAGATTCAATTGCTGAATCATCTTCTCTGAAAAATCCGGTTAACTTGAACAAGACGTTTCTTGCTTTAACCACAAGTGTAGTATGTAGGACAGCATTTGGTGTGAGTTTTGAGGGAACTGTGCTTAGCAATGACAGGTTCAACACGTTAGTCCGTGAAGCATTCGAGATGTTGGGAAGTTTCTCTGCCTCAGATTTTATTCCGTACATCGGTTGGATCATCGACCGGTTCACTGGTTTGCAAGGGCGGAGAGAAAAAAGCTTTCTAGATCTCGATGCGTTCTATGAACAAATCTTTGATCTGCATAATAAGGAAAAACAAGAAGGGAGTGAAGATCTCGTGGATCTGCTCTTGAGGTTGGAGAAAGAAGAAATTGTTGTTGGAAATGACAAGCTCACAAGAAATCATATCAAAGCAATATTGATGGTAAAAATATAAATTTTCATTAAAGTTTATCATTTTGTCTTTATAAGTTTCAACTTTGCTTAAAAATTCTTAAATTCTATAAAATTTGATACGATTGTTAGAAATGAGAGATAACGTCATTCATTATTAAGAAATAACGTTAAAGACTAGAATATGTTTGTATAAACTTATATAAATCTTGATTTATGATATTTATGAAAACATTTATATATGCATACATATAGTTCTTTTTGCAATATATGATCTTAGTAAGTTGATAAAAAAAATTTTGAACTTTTTAACTGGATCAAATTATGATTAGAAATAATTATTATATTATAGTGGTCATTAATTTATCTATTATATTATAGTGGTCATTAATTTATCTAATGTAATTTAAAGAACTTGTTTTACTAATATTACTATTCCACTTACAATATACATATATATATATATATATATTTATATATATTTCTTACATGTTTGTTTTTTTATGTTCTTGTAAACAGAACATTCTTTTAGGAGGAATTGATACTTCTGCAATTTCAATGACATGGGCAATGGCAGAACTTGCTAAAAACCCTAGAGTTATGAAGAAAGTTCAATCTGAAATCAGAAGCCAAATCAAGAACAAAGAAAGAATCAGCTTCGATGACACTGATAAGCTTGAGTACCTGAAAATGGTGATCAAAGAAACATGGAGGTTACATCCTCCAACACCTCTCCTCCTCCCAAGAGAAGTAATGACTGAATTTGAGATCAATGGCTACACGATTCCTGTCAAGACACGGGTTCATGTAAATGTATGGGCTATTGGTCGTGATCCCGATTCCTGGAAAGATCCAGAAATGTTTCTCCCAGAAAGGTTTATGGATAGTAACATTGATGCAAAAGGACAGAACTTTGAGTTGTTGTCGTTTGGGAGTGGTAGGAGAATTTGTCCTGGAATGTACATGGGAACAACAATGGTGGAGTTTGGCCTCGCTAATATGCTGTATCATTTTGATTGGAAATTACCGGAAGGCATGGCAGTCGAGGATATCGATATGGAAGAAGCCCCTGGACTTACTGTGAGCAAAAAAAGTGAGCTTCTACTTGTTCCAGTGAAGTATTTAGAACATTGATCACGTAAAGTAAGTTCTTCATCGATTGTACTATGAATAAGTGAAATGTTTAAGAGAATTCCCAACGTAATAATTTGTTTTTGTTTTGCAATTTTGCCTAGAATACTTCTTTTTTTTTCTTAAATAATGTAATTTTTACCTGAAGCCTCCTCCATTAGCGGTATACAGAATTAGTTACGTACATCATTTGTTAAGTTATCAACTTATCATGCACTAGAAAGCAATAAAAAAAATTTAGGACCACACCGTTTGATTTTTTTTTTTTGGGTGCAAACTCACACCGTTTGATTTATGTTATCAAGATTTGAGGACTTTATTCGGCGAAAGAATTATCTTCCACAAAATTTTCCCTAGAATTATCTTCCACACAAAATTTTCGGTAGATTTTTCGGAAAATTCAAATTGAGAAGATGACTGATCGAAAGATGTTGAATCGTTTTTTGTCCTTTTCTACTGAGAAATTATGTATTTCTTTAAAAACATTTAATGTTAATTATATTTAAAAGAAAAGTTTTTACAACTAGTGCAATATTTTTTGGAATAAAACTGAGTTTAGATTTTAAATAGAAACGCTTTAGATTTGCTCACGAGATTGGATCCACAGCTGAAACCCTGCTTCATAACGCTTATCGCCCATGCTTCAAATTGTTGAAATCTGATTTCGGACTTGTTTATCTATCCACTGAATCATGTTATCGAAAGAGATAAATATTAAATCAAATATAAATTTAATTTTGTGAAGAAAAAATATAAAACTTATTTATTATATCAATTGGTAAGATTTTTGTACATGGTTGGCATTAGCCCTGAACTTTTGGATATTCGGTTCAGTTATGGCTAGATATTTTTCGGGTTTATATATATGGTTCTTTAATGAAGAACCGACCTAACACTGAAATATTTTTAGATACCGTCTAGTTCAATTATTTTTTACCCGAAATTATCCAAAAATATCCAACAACTAGATTTGAACCCGCGGTACACCGCGGGGCTATAATTTTTTTAAAAAAATCTAAATATAATTAGTTTTTTTTATTAATAGAGAGTATAATAAAATATTTCGACCTATTTTATAAATGTACCATCCATATATCTATATTAATAATTTTGAGTATATTAATTGTGTTTTAGGTTTAAATGGTATATCTATATATACACTTAAACGACATTTGGCTTTCTTCTTCTTCTTGCCTCAGTTTAGGAGAAAGATTTTTCTTGCGGTACACCGCGGAGCTATTATTTTTTTTAAAAAAAATTTCTCCTTAAACTTCCAAATCTAGATTTTACCCCGCGGTACACCGCGGGTCAATTTTTTTATAACTAAAAAATTATTTTGCAAAATTTTAAGTTGTATTTGTTTTGTTAATATTGTTTATTTTGTTTAGTGTTTCTGATTTTATAATTAAATTTTGATTTTTAATTCTAGGATTTCATCCATAGTATATTGTTTAATATTAATATTGATCTAAACCCGTTGCACCATATAACCCCGTCCCGTAAAATTAAACATCATTTGTTATTTTTTTTGAATAATATTTTTATCCACTACGGGTTGCAAGTTCATGCGGATAAGCCCGTAGAGAGTTGCGGGTTTGCGGATCCACCCGCCAAAAGAGAAGCTATCTTTTGAAACCCTTTGTTTTGTTTAGAGGTTTTAAGAAAATATCTAGGCCTGGGCATTCGGGTACCCATTCGGATTCGGTTCTTTTTTTTTGGGTATCGGGTCTATTCGGGTAGGGGGTCAAGACCCATTCGGGTATTCTAAAAATTCGGTTCGGGTTCGGTTCGGGTTCGGGTCGGTTCGGGTATTTTAATAAAAAAGCAAAATACCCGAAAATAACCAAAAATACCCGGAATATTTTCGGGTTCGGGTCGGGTTTGGGTTTTTAACTCATATATACCCAAATCTAACCGAAATACCCGATTTCTCGAAAATACATTGGTTACTCTTTACCCAAATATAACCAAAAATATCTAAAATACCTAATATATTCGGTTTTATGATTGTAATTTTAGGGATTTCGGGTATTATAAAAATAAAAATAACTAATATTTTTAGGTGTATATTTGTATTCGGGTACATTCGGGTATTGGATTCGGTTCGGGTTCGGTTCGGGTTTTTTTCGGGTAGGAGGTTAGGACCCATTCGGGTATTTTTAAAAATCGGGTTTGGGTTCGGTTCGGGTATTGTTCGGGTTTTTTGGTTCGGGTATTCGGTTCCGGGTATTTTGCCCAGGCCTAAAAATATCCCTAAAAAATAATTTTCATTATATGAAAAAAAGAAGTAGAAGAAATTGTAGTATCAACATTCCCGATTTTTACATCACTTTTTTTTTTTGTCATCTGGATTTATTATTTATTGCAAATTCTGAGAACTGTTACAATTAATTTTTTTTTTGCAGATAAAAATCAGAAGTTAACTAAGTCGAGATTTTTAAAAAGATTGTGTAGAGATTTTTGGTAAATTGTTGAGAACATATTTGATTTCAGAATCTTTACTTAAATAGATAAGGAAAGATTTTGTAGAGACTTTTGCTAAATATATGAGAAATGAATTTCAATTAAAAATCTTTACTTAAATAAAACAAATCTAAATAATTAATGCTAGTGGCATGTCATTGTAAATACTTCTCAACTTCAGGATTTATTTGCTAATTGTGATCCAAAAATGTATATATAGATGCCTAAAAATACATAAAATTAATACCTTAAATTACACTTTTGGATATTTTAGTCTAAAAATGACAAAATTTTCTTATAATTTCTTTTGTAAGTTTTCCATTAAATCTTGTGAATTTTAGATAGTTGTGAGTAGTACATACGTTGTTATCGAAAATTTCTATTTGTCAACTAAACGTGACCGTTGGAAAAGAAATTATAAGAAAACTAGGATCGGACCGGCGGTCCACCGCGGGAGAATATTGGTTTACATACGTTGCGTTTAATATTGTGTGTGTTTTTTAGTAGAACGAATCGTGTAGTATACTTATAAATATTCATAATAACGAATTGTAGAGAAAATGTAAAATTGTTTATAAATATATCCATCGTATTAATTATGATTTATAAAATAGAATTTTGTGTTTTAAAATTCTAAAATTAGACGATTCATGGGAATTAGAGCAGTCAAAATAGGTCAAAAACCGCAGGTCGAGCCCACATCATCTCACTATGGGGCAGATTTGGGAAAATATATTAAACCCGTAAATAAGCGGGCCACATGGATTAATTCGCAGTGGGTCATAGGTTTAATCGGTTTTCATCCGCGGGTTGGCGGATCAGCCCGCATATTAGTATTTATTGATAAAATTATAATTTATTCAACATGTGGTAATTTAAACAAACTTTTAATAGTATTTTGATTTATTTATTTATTTTAGTAGTATTTTAAATTTTGGTTACTTTAAAATTATTTAAACAAAATCCATGGACAATCCCGCAAATCCGCATACATTCGCGGGACGGGTTTGTATTTCATATATGCTATCTGCGGGTTGTGCGGACCGACTAACTACAAGTCAAAATATTTTTTGTCTATCGTAAAACGGACTTAACGGGACGAATCAACTCGCTTTGACAGTTCTAATGGGAATATTATTTAGTCATACAACAAAATGAAGTTTGGACATAGTAATAATAGAATATGTATCTTATTTGTTAGATGAGAGATTGAAAGATGAAGTATAATGATTAAAAATTAATTATTATTTTTCATGATTCACAAAATTTAATAAATACTTATCATCTTGTTGAATAATTCTAAAATCATATTCAAAAAATCTTTATAAATTGAAAATTAAACTTCTTTGGTAAGCTATAGGTATGAAAATATCATGATTTCGATTTAATCTAATTAAATTAAAATTAGTTACATGGATTTCATATCTATTTAGTTTACACGACCAAAATAAAAATATCTATTTAATTTACACGACCAAAATGAAAATATCAATTTAATTTATAAAACAGATGGGTTATTTGTGATAAATTTTCTAGAAATCTTTAGAAGCAAGTAAAATATCTTTCAATTAATGATAATTGGCTAAAATGGGCGAAATTAATGACAAAAACGTTGATTGTTATGGAATTAGTCCCAAAAATATATGAACAAATTTATTATACGTAATTAATGTATAATATTGTTTGGAATATGCTTTTATTATTAGTTACCATAAGTACAATCAGATTTTATTTGATTTCCATAAATATTTGATTTTATTTCGATTTTTCATTATTAATTCGAATTTATATTCCAAAAAAATTTCAAAGATCCGATTTCAGATTTCGGATCAATTTTCTGATTTTAACCCGACCCATTTTCATTTGTACTTCTCTTTTAATAGTATAGAGATTTTGACTGATCTTTACACGTATAGCATGACTGCATGAGTACGATAATCTGTAACCTCACTATCTCAGTCTTCATGACTTCATCTCGAGGCTTATCCTCACCGAAGACACTAAACGACGTTTAACTTTGTATATATCAAAACGGGAAAAATGCAAATTAAATGTTGAACTTTTTCATTACGTCGTTTTTAATCCCCAACTTTTGCTGAAACGATTTAAATGCTGAACTTTCTTTGACTTTCCATTTAAATGCCAAACTTTGTTTGACTTTGCCATTTAAGACCCGACGTTAAGTCGATTAACGGAGTAATTAAACGCTGATTAAATGCCGTTAACAGCTAGATTGAATTAAAACAATGTTGTTTCTAACATACATCAACACGTCGTTTTCTCAATTTACAAAACCCAAATTCGATTTCATTTGCCCCAAATCAAAAAATCCCCAAATTCATAACCCTAGAAATTGATTACACTTCGACGGCACACCACGGACTCCGACAACGTTCGATGTTATAGAACTTGAACTCATTATAACAAGTTGAGAGAATCACAAGAATGAATCCAAAAGAGAATGAGAAAATCCCAGAAGGGAATGAAAGAAATCTGAAGCTTTCGATTTCTAGGGTTATGTGTTTGGAGATTTTTCGATTTAGGGCAAATGAGTTTGATTGGGGTTTTGTAAATTCAAAAAACGACGTCGTTTATGTGTATTAAAACGGCATCGTTTTAATTTAAGAGGAACTGTTAACGGTATTTAATCAGCGTTTAATTGTTCCGTTAATCGACTTAACGTCGGGTCTTAAATGGCAAAGTCAAACAAAGTTTGGCATTTAAATGGAAAGTCAAAGAAAGTTTAGCATTTAAATCGTTTCAGGCAAAGTTGGGGATTAAAAACGACGTAATGAAAAAGTTCAGCATTTAATTGGTATTTTTCCCATATCAAAACCAAGCTGTGTTCGTATAAAACGTTGTTGGTTTCTTTGCTACTCTGTTTCTTTATCTCCAAAAAACACAGAGGAACCAAAACTATGGCGATTCCTCTGTCTTTGCTCTTCCTTCTATTCCTTTATGTTATCTTCTCGATCATATACACCAAGAAGATCAAAGACTCAAGACAGAATCTTCCTCCGAGCCCACCAAAGCTTCCGTTCATCGGAAATCTACACCAAATTCGAAGACTGCTTCACAGATGTCTTCACGATCTTTCTAAGAAGTACGGACCTGTGGTGCTTCTCAATCTAGGGTTTGTCCCAGTTGTGGTAATCTCATATTCTCATCGAGTGAAGCAGCTGAAGAAGTTCTTAAAACCCATGACCTAGAGTGTTGTACACGACCTAAGGCTCTCGGGATGCAGACATTTTCGCGTAAGGGTAAAGACATTGGTTTGGCGTCATACGGTGAGGACTGGATAGAGCTGCGCAAGCTTGCTATACTCGAGTTCTTCAGCGCGAAAAAGGTCCGATCTTTTAGGTATATCAGAGAGGAAGAAAATGACTTGATGATCAAGAAACTGACAGTATCAGCTTTGAAGCAATATCCAGTGGATTTGAGCAAAACCCTTTTCTCTTTAGCTGCGAGTATCATATTCAGATCCGCCTTTGGACAGAATTTCGCGGAAACCAAACATATTAATAAGGAAAAGATCGAAGAATTGATATTTGAAGCTCTAATAAATATGTCTTTCAAATTCTCTGATCTCTTCCCTACTGCTGGTCTTGGATGGTTTATGGACTTTGTTTTAGGAGAACACAAGAGACTTCATAACATTTTCGCCGAGGTTGATACTTTTGTCAAGAAAGTGGCTGATGATCATTTGAATATCAAGCATGGAGTAACAACTCAAGATCGTCCTGATATTGTTGATGTGATGTTGGAAATGATACATAAACAAGAAGAAGATGATTCTTCTTTCAGGCTCACAATTGATCACCTCCATGGAGTCATATCAGTAAGCATAGAATCTTTAGTTCATGATTCTTGAATCTAAACATGACCTAATCATATTTCTTGACCAATTTTGATCAGGATATATTTCTTGCTGGAGTAGACACAATTGCCGTCACCATGATGTGGGCAATGGCAGAGCTTGTAAGAAACCCGAGAGTGATGAAGAAAACTCAAGATGAGATTCGAACTTGCATTGTAATCAAACCAAAAGAGAGAATCGCGGAAGAAGATATCGAAAAGCTTCAGTACTTGAAGCTTGTGATCAAAGAAACCTTAAGACTACACCCACCAGCTCCTCTCTTACTTCCAAGAGAAACAATGTCTCAAATCAATATTCAAGGATACAACATTCCCTGAAAAACTCTTCCTTTGGTTAACGCGTGGTCGATCGGACAAAACCCTGACCGTTGGAAAAATCCAGAGGAGTTTATCCCGGAGAGGTTTATCGATGATCCTATGGATTACAGAGGACAGAGTTTTGAGATGTTACCATTTGGTTCTGGCCGGAGAATGTGTCCAGGAATGAGTTTTGGGATTGCGACCATTGAATTAGGACTCTTGAACTTGCTTTACTTTTTTGATTGGGAATTGCCTGAGGAGAAGAAAGATATGGACATGGAAGAAGCTGGTGATGTCATTGTTGTTAAGAAAGTTCCTCTTGAGCTTCTGCCAGTTATTCGAGAAAAACATAATCATCCCAACCAGAACTCTTTTACCATTCTGGAACTTCTTTTTGTGTTATCAGACTGTCTTTTTAAAAAAAAATGTAATTTATGTAACTCTGTTTCCAAAACCATGTTCTGACTTCTGATGCATAAGTAAAAAACATACACATTTATAACTTCATGTATATTTGCAAATAAGTATGAGTTTCTCAGAAGTACTTGACATTATGACTACACCTTATAAACTTTATAAATATTTGGATCGAGTTTTCAGTAGTAATTACCATCAATAAGTACTTTTATAAAAAACAAAATTAACGATTTTTTGAAAATAGACATATAACAATTTTGAAAAGAAGCATACCAAAAAGAGCTTTTAAAAAACAATTCCCTATATTTTTCAACTATAATTTTCCTATCTATAGCTTCTCAATTTGCCACGTATCAATTCTTAATTTTTTTTCTTATAAGATTTATACAGGTAAATAATTTCATACATGTATATTATTACGAATACATTTCTTCGCCATGCGTTAATTAATTACACTCATCTTTAATTTTAAGCCTCACTCTCTCAATCTTTATCTCGAGCTTATCCTCACTGACGACAATAAGTGTTTTGTCTTAATGTTTCTCTATCTAAAAAACAGAGCACAAACCAGAGGATCGAAAATAATGGTGATTCTTCTATCTTTCTTCTTGCTTCTATTCGTCACCATTTTCTTCTCGTTAATCTTCACCAAGAAGATAAAAGAGTCGAAAACAAATCTTCCTCCTGGCCCAGCAAAGCTTCCGATCATCGGAAACCTACACCAGCTCCAAGGGTTGCTTCATAGATGTCTTCACAATCTCTCCAAGAAACACGGACCAGTGATGCATCTCCGTCTAGGGTTTGCATCAATGGTCGTAGTTTCATCGGGTGAAGCAGCTGAAGAAGCTCTTAAAACACATGACCTTGAGTGTTGTTCAAGACCTAACACTATCGCCGCAAGGGTTTTCTCGCGGGACGGTAAAGACATCGGATTCGGGGTATATGGTGATGAATGGAGAGAGCTGCGTAAGCTTTCTGTTCGTGAATTCTTTAGCGTGAAAAAAGTTCAATCTTTCAGGTACATTAGAGAGGAAGAGAATGACTTGATGGCCAAGAAACTGAGAGAATTGGCTTCGAAGCAATCTCCAGTGGACTTGAGCAAAACCCTCTTTGGTCTCACAGCGAGTATCATATTCAGAACCGCCTTTGGACAGAGTTTCTATGAGAACAAGCATATCGATCAGGAGAGGATCAAAGAACTGATGTTTGAATCTCAGAGCAATATGACTTTCAGATTCTCTGATTTTTTCCCTACTGCTGGTCTTAAATGGTTTATAGGCTTTGTGTCAGGCCAACATCAGAGGCTTTACAACGTCTTCACCAGGGTTGATACTTTTTTTAATCATATAGTTGATGATCATCATTCGAAGAAACCAACTCAAGATCGTCCTGATATGGTCGACGCTATCTTAGATATGATAGATAATCAACAACAATATGCATCTTTCAAGCTCACCGTTGATCACCTCAAAGGAGTCCTCTCAGTAAGCAAACAAATTTCTTTACTTAATGATTTTTGAATCTAACCTATATATCCTTAATTAATAATTTAGTCTTTTTCTTGACCTAGAATATATATCACGCTGGAATAGACACAAGCGCCATCACAATGATTTGGGCGATGGCAGAGCTCGTTAGAAACCCTAGAGTGATGAAAAAGGTTCAAGAAGAAATCCAAACTTGTATTGGAATTAAACAAGAAGGAAGAATTATTGAAGAAGATCTTGATAAGCTTCAATACTTGAAGCTTGTGGTGAAAGAAACCTTAAGACTACACCCAGCAGCTCCTCTTTTACTTCCAAGAGAAACAATGGCTGATATCAAGATTCAAGGCTATGACATTCCTCGGAAAACACTTCTTTTCGTTAACGCTTGGTCGATAGGACGAGATCCGAAATACTGGAGAAACCCTGAGGAGTTTAACCCGGAGAGGTTTATAGATTGTCCTGTGGGTTACAAAGGACATAGCTTTGAGCTGTTACCCTTTGGTTCTGGTCGGAGGATTTGTCCAGGAATAGCTATGGCGATCGCAACCATTGAATTGGGACTCTTGAATTTGCTTTACTTCTTTGACTGGAAAATGCCTGAGGAGAAGAAAGATATGGACATGGAAGAAGCTGGTGATGTCACTGTTGTTAAGAAGGTTCCTCTTGAGCTTCTTCCTATTCCTCGCCATTGAATCTTGAGGAATGAGAGAACTTGAACTGTGTAATGTTGTTGTTATTGAAATAAATAGTGTTATCTTGTTTGGAAATGAATGTAATTTTGATGGGAACATCATGAGGCCCATTTAGGATTGGTGTTTGAGTAAAAAAAGTGTTTGATTGGTGTTCACATTTTCTTTCGATAAACATTTTTTTTTTATAAAAAAAGTGATCACATATTTGGAAGACAATTTTCAAAGCTTATCCTCACAAACACTAAATGACATGTGACTTTGTCTATTGACACTAACTTATGCTTTAACTCTGTTTGTTTTATAGTCTGAATACTCACTCTCTTTCTCTATCACCAAAAACAGAACACAAAACAGAAGAAAAATAATAAAAAATGTCGATTCTTCTGTATTTCATCGCCTTTTTATCGCTAATATTCATGAAGAAAATCAAAGACTCGAAACGAAATCTTCCTCCGAGCCCACTGAAGCTTCCAATCATCGGAAACCTATACCAGCTTCGAGGATTGTTTCACAGATGTCTTCACGATCTCTCCAAGAAGCACGGACCCGTGCTGCTTCTCCGTCTAGGTTTTCTAGACGTGGTTGTGATCTCATCGAGCGAAGCTGCTGAAGAAGCTCTCAAAGTACATGACCTTGAGTGTTGTACCAGACCTAAGACTAACGTAGGATCAAAGCTTTGGCGTAACGGTAAAGACATCGGATTTGCCCCATATGGTGAGTCTTTGAGAGAGTTACGAAAGCTTTCTGTTCTTAATTTTTTCAGCACGAAGAAGGTTAGATCTTATAGGTACATCAGAGAGGAAGAGAATGATTTGATGGTCAAGAAACTGAAGGAATCGGCTCTGAAGAAATCTTCTGTAGATTTGAGCAACACACTTTTCTGTCTAGTTGGGAGTATCATACTCAGATCTGCCTTTGGACAGCGTTTCGACAAGAGCAATCATGTAGATGCGGAAAAGATCAAAGACCTCATGGTTGAGGTCCAGAAACTTGGGTCACTAAGTAATTCTGATCTTTTCCCTGGTGGTTTGGGATGGTGTGTAGACTTTGTGTCAAGACGAAATAAGAAACTTGACAAAGCCTTCGTCGAGGTTGATACTATGCTGAATCATATTGTTGATGATCACTTGAAAAACCCTATAGAAGAAACAACTCATGATCGTCCTGATATCATCGACTCGCTCTTAGATATGATACATAAACAAGAACAAGATGCATCTTTCAAACTCACCATTGATCATCTCAAAGGAATTCTCCAAGTAAGCATGTTAAAATTCATTGGATCTATAGATAAAAAGTAGATCTTCTATACTCTTTGATATGGAATTCTTAAAATGTTGAGTCTAAATATGTCATTAACTATTTTGTGTATTTGTTGACCTAGGATATATATCTTGCTGGAGTAGACACAAGTTCCATCACCATGATTTGGGCAATGGCAGAGCTTGTTAAAAACCCGCGGGTGATGAAGAAAGTTCAAGATGAGATCCGAACATGCATTGGAATCAAACAAAATGAAAAAATCGAGGAAGAAGATATCGAAAAGCTTCATTACTTGAAGCTTGTGATCAAAGAAACATTAAGACTACACCCAGCAGCACCTCTTTTACTTCCAAGAGAAACAATGGCTGATATCAAGATTCAAGGCTACAACATTCCTCAGAAAACATTTATTTTGGTTAACGCATGGTCGATAGGACGGGATCCTAAACACTGGAAAAACCCTGAGGAGTTTAACCCGGAAAGGTTTATCGACTGTCCTATGGACTACAAAGGAAATAGCTTTGAGATGTTACCATTTGGTTCTGGTCGAAGGATATGTCCAGGGATAGCTTTTGCGATTGCGACCGTTGAATTGGGATTATTGAACTTGCTTTACTTCTTCGATTGGAGATTGCCTGAAGAGGATAAAGATATGGACATGGAAGAGGCTGGTGATATCACTATTATTAAGAAAGTTCCTCTTAAGCTTGTCCCAATTCTTCATCACTAAAAAGGAAAAAGAAATGATCATCATTATATAAAGGCCTATATAAGAATAAAAAAAAACTTATGAATGAAATTATATTTTCTACAGTCAAGAGAAAATAATGTTTGTATCATAATGTATATCTTCTATCTGTTTTGCTCTATATATTGTTGTATACTTCTGTTTAATCATTATCTTATTTATGTTGTTACTTGTGTATCATAGATGATTGTTTAAGCTATTTTTTGCACCGGTTTGAATGCGAACATAGAATTGGGAGCAGTGTTTGAGTAGGTTTCGAAAGTTTAGTTCGTATTGTTCTTGACCTCTCGAAGCTTATCCTCACGAACAATAATTGACATGTAAATTTATGTGTTGCCAAAGTAAAGACGTCTTTAACTCTGTTTTTTATAGTCTGAATACTCTGTTTCTATATCACCAAAAACAGAACATAAAACAGAGGAAAATAAAAACAATGTCGGTTCTTCTCTATTTCTTCTTGTTTCCGCTTCTCTCCGCTCTTTTATCGTTAATATTCATGAAGAGAATCAAATACTCGAGACGCAATCTTCCTCCGAGCCCACCGAAGCTACCGATTATCGGAAACCTACACCAGCTTCGAGGATTGTTTCATAGATGTCTTCACGATCTCTCCAAGAAACACGGCCCGGTGTTACTTCTCCGTCTAGGTTTTGTTGATATGGTTGTGATCTCATCGAAAGAAGCAGCTGAAGAAATTCTTAAAGTACATGATCTTGAGTGTTGTACCAGACCTAAGACCAACGCCTCATCAAAATTCTCGCGTGACGGTAAAGACATCGCCTTTGCGCCATACGGGGAAGTTTTTAGGGAATTGCGTAAGCTTTCCTTTCTCAAGTTTTTCAGTACGCAAAAGGTCCGATCTTTTAGGTACATCAGAGAGGAAGAGAATGATTTGATAGTCAAGAAACTAAAGGAATCAGCTCAGACGAAGAATACAGTGGATTTGAGCCAAACACTTTTCTATCTAGTGGGGAGTATCATATTCAGGGCTACCTTTGGGCAACGGTTAGACGAGAACAAGCATGTCAATAAAGAAAAGATTGAAGAACTCATGTTTGAGGTCCAGAAAGTTGGATCTCTAAGCAGCTCTGATCTTTTCCCTGCTGGTGTGGGATGGTTTATGGACTTTGTGTCAGGACGACATAAGACACTTCACAAAGTTTTCGTCGAGGTTGATACTTTGCTAAATCATGTAATTGATGGTCACTTGAAGAATCCTGAAGAAAAAACAAATCAAGATCGCCCCGATATCATCGACTCGATCTTAGATACTATGTATAAACAAGAACAAGATGGATCTTTCAAACTCACCATTGATCATCTCAAAGGAATTATCCAAGTAAGCATAAAATCTAGGTCACAATTCTGTCAAAACTCATGGGCTTCTATCTCAAAAGTATCTTATCTTTTGTAGTAGGTAATTTGTATATTGTTATTAGAATTAGGCCTTCGCGCGTCATAAGTTGAATAATAATTGAATGGAATGGTTCATATAATGTATATATTGGATTATATATTTAGATTTATCAAATCTTAAGTTAAATATGTCCTTAACCATCTTATGTCGTTGTTGACCTAGAATATATATCTTGCTGGCGTAGACACAAGTGCCATCACTATGATTTGGGCAATGGCGGAACTTGTTAGAAACCCGCGGGTGATGAAGAAAACTCAAGACGAGATCCGAACATGCATTGGAATCAAACAGAAGGAGAGAATCGAGGAAGAAGATGTCGATAAGCTTCAGTACTTAAAGCTTGTGATCAAAGAAACCTTAAGACTACACCCACCAGCTCCTCTTTTACTTCCAAGAGAGACAATGGCTGATATCAAGATTCAAGGCTACGACATTCCTAGGAAAACCATTCTTTTAGTTAATACATGGTCGATAGGACGAAACCCTGAACTCTGGAAAAACCCCGAAGAGTTTAACCCGGAGAGATTTATCGATTGTCCTGTGGATTACAAAGGAAATAACTTTGAGATGTTACCATTTGGTTCTGGTCGGAAGATATGTCCAGGGATAGCTTTTGGGATAGCGACCGTTGAATTGGGACTATTGAACCTTCTTTACTTCTTTGATTGGAGATTGCCTGAGGAGGATAAAGATATTGACATGGAAGAGGCTGGTGATGCCACCATTGTTAAGAAAGTTCCTCTTGAGCTTGTCCCAATTATTCATCATTGAATGATGTCCCAACTTTACGAATAAAATAAAAATGAAGTTACATATTTGCTTGTCGAAGGAGAAAATTGACATGTAGCATACATTTTTATCACAAGACCAGAGAGCATATGTAATGCCTGATTGCCTGGAATGCTTGTGAACGTTAGTCTATAGTCAAAAAGAAAACTGTAGTCTATAACCCAAATTGTTACTGAAATAATCTTAGTGAGAGGTTTATATTGTCTCTCGTTCTATATGTCAAATTTTTTTTTTTGAATGTCTTTTAACAGACATTATGGGTGTTGTTCTTTGGATGTTATTTTAACCGGATTCATATACACGGTGAGTAAGCATAATGTAGATAGGCCAATCCATTTGTCGGATTTCCACCACAAGAAAAAGCAATAAAATTGTTCGTGGAGTAGTTCATCATAATTACATATAGATAAATTTGATAAGTTGATCATTACTTATTACTTTTAGTATCAAAATGCACATCTCTACTATTTTAGATACTAGGTCATAATCCCCGCGATATCGCGGGAAACTCATTTTCAACAAATATATTTTATTATATTTTGTATTAAATTATTATGATAATATATTCAAATATTTAAATTATTACATAAAATTAACGATGATTTAGAGTTATATCGTAAATATTTTCCAAATATGTTAAAAAAAATTATGAATAAAATGTAAAAAACAAGAATTATGATTAAAAACACTTGTGAAACATTTTTTCTGAATGTAAAATTATTTATAATTAAGTGGCAAAATACATAACGAAGAGTTATAATATAGAGATGAGAAATTCTAGCGGGTCAAAACCGAAAAATTCGGATGAAAGCAGTACTCAGCACGACTTGTGGGTGACTAAGAACTTCGCCCGAGAATTGGTATTTTTTGTTTGTAGACTGCTCTTTAAATATATAATTAATATTTATTTTATTTTATATATTCGAAAAAATATAATATTTGATGACGCAAATTACATCTATAATAAACAAGTAAACATTTACAAGATCTCATAAATTTATATTTATATTGATAAATTAACTGAGTAAAAAAACTTTTTCTTTAATATTTATGTGACGAATTGGAATGATTAATTTTTCCTAATAATGGAGATGATTTCTAGATTATTATACCATCTGAAACGGTTCATTTGACGCTTACCACATTTAAAGCGTCCAATCAAAAGCGTCACATGAGAATATTTTTTCATATTCGGACATTGTAATAGTGTCAACGCATCATCAATATTTCATTATATATTATCTTAAGATAAAAAAAAACCCTCATTGTTACCATATAAAATATTTAAATAACAAAATTCACAGTATAATCCGTCCAATTCTAAGGAAAAAATTATTGGTATCTTCATTAGAATTTTATATTTAAAAATTGATTAAAACTTTTCCATTTTTATAATCATTCCAAAAAACTTTGGTTAGATAAAGAATGAGAATCATTTCTTTAATATTAAAATGATGTATGTTTAGAAATAGTTTAGAGAATAAAGAATTTGGAGCCATTTTACAGATTAATTTTTTTGGATTCATCATGAAATAAATAATCTATATTAAAGAACAAAATTTTGGGAACTACTTAGGAAAAATGACAAATATATAGAGTTCAAAAGTCACAAACATCTAAATAGACAACTATTTATACAAAAATTTGTGAAGAAAAAATGCAATGAAATATAGTAAAGAGACGTAATTTTAAATGAATAGATGCAACTATAAAGACACAAGCGTAAACTAAAAAATGCGACTATATCTTAAAGAAAAGTTACGATAAAAAGGCCAACCGAAAAAATAACCGTCAACGAAAAATATAACCGTAAATATTTTAACGAAGAGTTGCGATAAAAAAACACAACTGAGAAAAAATAACTGTCAATATTTTAACGAAAAATTACGATAAAAAGGACAAAAACGAAAAAAGTAACCATCAATATTAAATCAGAAAATTTTGATAAAAGACACAACCGAAAAAATAACCGTCAACGAAAAATTAACCGTCAATATTTTAACGAAAAAAATACACAATGAGAAAAAATAACCGTCAATATTTTAAAGAGAAGTTGCGATAGAAAGACACAACCGAGAAAAAATAACCGTCGATATTTTAACAGAAAATTGCGATAAAAAGACAAACAAAAAAATAACCGTCAATATTTTAACGGAAAGTTATGATAAAAAGAAATAACCGAAAAAGTAATTGTCAACGAAAAAAGTAACCGTCAATAATTTAATGAAGAGTTGTGATAAAAATACACAACTGTGAAAAAATAACTGTCAATATTTTAACAGAAATGTGCGATAAAAATACACAACGAGAAAAAATAACCGTCAATCTTTTAACGAAAAGTTGCGATAAAAAGACAAAAGTGAAAAAAGTAACCATCAATATTTGAACGGAAAGTTGCGATGAAAAAGACACAACCAAAAAAATAACCGTCAACGACAAAAGTAACCGCCAATATTTTAACGAAGAGTTACAATAAAAAGACACAACCGAAAAAATAACCGTCAATATTTTAATGAAAAATTGCAATAAAAAGACAAAACCGTAAAAAATAACCGTCAATATTTTAACGGAAACTTGCGATAAAAAGACACAACCGTAGAAAAATAACCGTAAATATTTAAACGAAAGGTTGCGATAAAAAGACGCAACCGTTCAAAAATACAAAAGGCATTTATTGAGATTGGTATTATATATAGATTTATAGATTCTTGGGATGAATAGCTTCTAGATACATCATTCCCTATCACACATCTCCCAATTATTTATAAATAAAACCTCGAATTATTTATCGCAAATTCATCATTGACTTTGGACAATTATGGAAACCGACCCGTGAGTACAGAGTTGCCGTGCAAAAATCATCCTCTGAAGTCTACTAAACTCTTAAATTTTTTCTTGACCCCAAAATTGAAAAGTCTACTTGATCCAAAAAATTTTATTTTTGAAAAAGTCTAATTTCATTTCTCTTTAAATTTATATTCTTCTCCACTTAGTAAATAAAGAAAAAAAAAAACAGAGCAAGAACAAAAAAAAATGTCAATCTTCCTCTGTTTCCTCTGGCTTTTGTTACTTCTTTTAGTAACAATAATCTTGACAAAAAAATCTCAATCCTCAAAACTGAAACTTCCTCCAGGTCCACCGAAACTTCCGATCATCGGAAACTTACACTACCTTAACGGATTACCTCACAAATGTCTCCAAAACCTCTCGAAAACCCACGGACCAGTGATGCAGCTCAAGTTAGGATTCGTCCCTTTGGTCGTAATCTCTTCAAACCAAGCAGCAGAAGAAGTTCTCAAAACCAATGACCTAGATTGTTGCAGCCGACCAGAAACCATAGCGTCAAAGACAATCTCTTACAACTTCAAAGACATCGGATTCGCTCCATACGGTGAAGAATGGAGAGCGTTGAGGAAGCTCGCTGTGATCGAGCTATTCAGCTTGAAAAAATTCAACTCTTTTAGGTATATAAGAGAAGAAGAGAATGACTTGTTGGTCAAGAAACTCTCTGAAGCTTCACATAAACAATCTCCTGTGAATTTAAAGAAAGCCCTTTTCACTTTAGTTGCTAGTATCGTGTGTAGACTCGCGTTCGGTCAAAATCTTCACGAATCCGAGTTTATCGATGAAGATAGTATGGAGGATTTAGCGTCTAGGTCGGAGAAGATTCAGGCGAAATTCGCTTTCTCTAATTTCTTCCCCGGAGGTTGGATTCTTGATAAAATCACCGGTCAAAGCAAGAGTCTTAACGAAATTTTCGCAGATCTCGACGGATTCTTTAACCAAGTGCTCGATGATCATCTAAAGCCAGGAAGAAGAGTATTAGAGATTCCAGATGTTGTGGATGTGATGATTGATATGATGAATAAACAAAGCCAAGATGGTTCTTTTAAGCTCACTACTGATCATATCAAAGGAATCATCTCTGTAAGCATTCCTTATTAATCTTTAATCCGTAGTGAACCTCGTGATAATCTTCAATTTTGATTTTAGAACAACTTGTGATTTAGGTGGAATGAATAGATTAGTATGCATAAATAAATGTAAGAAAAAATAAGTTATTATAATATCGAACAAATTTAGATACGGAACTAATCATTGAAATTTTTGTAAACGTGATACAAGGTGAAATTGCAGAATATCGTAATAACAAATCGGTGGTGAGTTAAAATTTAAAAACATTGAAATTGGAATCTGATATTTTCATAATTTTTACTCGTAATAAATTTATAAACACTCAATTCTTTTTCAATAAATATTCCTTAACTATTTATTAAACGTTATTCTTTTTTTTTTTTCTTATGATATGTAATGGTCTTGAACTAGTATGTGGCATTAAGGTTTCATGTGAGACTTATTCCTTTTGTGATTGGATTTAGGATATATTTCTTGCCGGAGTAAACACAAGTGCAACGACCATTCTTTGGGCAATGACAGAGTTAATAAGAAACCCAAGAGTGATGAAGAAAGTGCAAGATGAGGTTAGGACAGTACTTGGTGAAAAAAGAGAGAGAATCACAGAACAAGATCTTAACCAACTTAACTACTTCAAGCTAGTGATCAAAGAGACATTCAGATTACACCCAGCAGCTCCACTTTTATTACCAAGAGAGGCAATGGCTAAAATCAAGATCCAAGGCTATGACATTCCACAAAAAACTCAGATCATGGTCAATGTTTACGCGATAGGACGCGATCCTAACCTTTGGGAGAATCCAGAAGAGTTTAAACCGGAAAGATTTGTTGATAGTTCTGTTGATTACAGAGGACTTAACTTCGAGCTTTTACCATTTGGTTCTGGTCGAAGGATTTGTCCCGGTATGACTATGGGAATCGCGACAGTCGAATTAGGATTGTTGAATTTGCTTTACTTCTTTGATTGGAAATTGCCTGAAGGAAGGACGGTGAAAGATATCGATTTGGAAGAAGAAGGTGCGATTATTATTGGCAAGAAAGTTTCTCTTGAACTTGTGCCTACTCGACGTCAATGAAACAAAAATATAATCATCTTAAAATAAGAGAGAATGCTTTCTTTTTTCTCAAGCTTCATTGTATAATGAAGTAGTGTTAATTTGCTTTGTGGAACGGTTGTTATATATTTTACATAATGAGCATATCATATATTAATAAATGCGTGTAATATTGAAGATTGTTGTGGGAAATGATAGGTAACCGGCAAGTTTAGTTATGATACTAATACATTTTTGATGTAAAACTTAGATTGGTTGAAAGGATTTGAAGAGAATGTACTTATGCTAGTACATTTGTTTTCACAAGCTTCGGTCTTTATACGCGAATTCGACAATCCATTTCTGATTTCGAGCTCAGTTGTGATTTGTCTACAAATAGATTTATAGCCTTCTTACTAACATAAACAGGTGTAATATCATTTATAATAATCGCAACATAGCTTTCTAAATCAAACTACTCATTTATTATACTAATTAAAATGTTTGTAAACAAACAAGTTTGTATAGGACGTACTAGTCGTGGGCGTTCAGTTATCCGATCGGTTATCGGTTCGGTTTCATTCGGTTAAGGTTCTAAAATTTACTATTCATTCGGGTATTTTGAAATTTCGGTTCGGTTTTGCTTCAGTTCCGACTATTTCTGTTTTAAAATTTAGTATCTATTCGGTTAGTTTGCTGTAGATTTTTTGGATATTTCGGTTATTTTCGGTTATTTTTCAAGTACTTCTACTAATTTTATATATTTTCAAGTATTTTTGATCATTTGGTCAATAAATAACTAATATTTTTTAAAATATAATTGTATTTTGGTTACTTTCCGTTACCCAAAATATTTCGGTTCGGTACCGATTCGGTTACGATTTTTTCGGTTCAAGAATTTAATATCCATTCGGTTATTTTCAAATTTTTGGTTCAGTTCGGTTTTTCTTGCTTCGGTTTCGGTTCGATACATTTGGTACTGTTTATTTGCCTAGGCCTAGGACGTACACAACTGCCAAAATGGGCTATAATTGAAGTTGGCCAAAATTTGCCCTCCCCCCTGATGTAGCTTCTCCAATGCTATCTTAGTTATTGGGCTTTCTCTTAAGCTATCAATGGCCTTAGATTTTGGAGATTTGTTCAACTCCCAGAATATCCTATCTTATCACATTAGCTTCTTATTAGAAGATTATGTATATAATCTATATAGTTTTTTTTTTGTAGAAGTATGGATTTTTGATATTTGAAATTATCCAATAACATTTTCAATTCAAAGTTTTTATCTTGTACGGATGTTTTTGTGTGGCGGATAATCAATAGTGGACTGGCAAACGCCGGCCACAACAAACAAATCAAGAGATAGACAGACGACAAGATAACCTTTTAGCAAAGAAAAAAAGAGACGACAAGAGACATGTAAGAAGATGCTATCCATAAGACTATTGTGAGAGGAATATAGATTCATGTCATTTTAACGTTGATTTTAATTGATAACTCCGTTTTAGACGGTGTGTTCAAAGTTGAATTCAAGAATGCATATGAAAAATAACGTTGTAGACTAGAAATCATTGTATCATTGAAAGGGACAGTTGATCATGACTGGTTTACTAGTAATAATATGTTTTGTGCTTAATTACATTCTCTTGTCGTGGGCTTAATTACTATATACATTCTCTTATATAGAGATAAGATTAATCTAAGTTTCATAATTTAAGATAAATATAAATATAAATAATACTTTAAAGATAAATGTAAGTATTCCTAAACTAAGTTATGATAATCTTCTAGATCCTTCTCGATCTTCATGATTTCCATAATCTTGGGCGATCATCTCGATCGTCGATCTCGATCGATCTCCGGTTCTCCCAATATAATACTTACGAAAATAGAACTGACTTCTTATGAAGTTTGAAAAAAATAACTATTAGTTAACTATTTTTTTAAAAATAAAATTGATGAATGTGGTGGCCTAGTGATAGTACAATGGGTTTGGTTCCTTTGTGTTTCGGATTCAATTGCTCTTTGGTACAGGAAAGACATTTTTAATTTGAAAATTGACAAAATCCTTCAAGACTGGTGGCCTTGGTTTCCGAGATATCAAAACTTTTAATAAAGCATTGTTAGCCAAGATCAGCTGGAGACTCCTACAGAACCCTTCCTGCCTCCTTTCAAAGGTTCTCATGGGTAGATACTGCAGGTATACTTCCTTTCTTGAGTGTACAGTCCCTAATTCCGCCTCACATGGCTGGCGTAGCATTTGTGTGGGCAGGGACCTACTAAAGCCTCATTTGGGCAAGATTTTAGGCTCGGGACTCTCCACACCTATCTGGAGATGCCCATGGCTCTCCGTGACCACCCCTCTATCACCAATGGGACCACCTACTGAAGCTTCCCAGCACTTGACAGTTGCTGATCTTAGAGTAGGAGACTCCCTTGCTTGGAACAGATCCACCATCCAACAAGTGCTTCCCTTGTATGAAAAAGAATTCTGAGCTTGAGACCCAGTAAGCTAGGAGCCCCAGACTCATGGGCTTGGCTCCCAACAGCTGATGGTATATACTCTACAAAATCCGGGTACTTCGAATCCCTCAATGGTGATGAAGCTAAGGATCCTAGCCCAAATCTGCAGCCTCCTGAATCCTTTAACTGGAAATCAAACATCTGGGCTACCAAGTGTTCACCAAAGATTAAGCTTCTCCTCTCGAAAGCTTCTCAAATGGCCTTACCTGTTGGAACCAACCTGCAGCAGAGACACATTAGTGACTCAGTGAAATGCCCACACTGTGGGGAAGAGGAATCTGAAGTCCACCTGTTTTTTAAGTTCCAATTTGCCTCACTTATCTGGAGGCTAGCTCCCTTCAAAGAAAACCTGAATCCTGCTAACATCCGCTCAGTCCGTGAAGGCATTGAGATCACCAACAAACTCACCTGCCTCCCACCTTCGGGAATCGGCAATGGCCCCTTGGCCCCTTGGATCTTCTGGTCTATTTGGTCTAGCAGAAACCAATTAATTTTTAGCAAGAAGCGGATCACATCAGAGGAAACTCTAATTATTGCCATCCTGAGATCGAAGGAATGGCAAAGCGCCCAGTCTCCTGCTCCGCGACTCAACTCGCCCCGATTACCGACAAGCTTACAAGAGCTGGCGCCTCAGACCATCTCCTGTTTCACCGATGCCGCGTGGCTAGACAATTCAAAGACGGGGTTTGGCTGGATCTTCAAAGACAACCATCATCGAACCGCTCTACAGGGATCTGCAACGGCTGCCCATGTCCGATCTCTTTTAATGGCCGAAGCTCTGGCAACTCTCACAGCTGTTGGAGTTGCAATTGAATCGGGCTTCACTCATCTCTCATTCGCTTCCGACTCGCAGGTGCTTGTCAAAGCTCTCAATTCGAAGACCCAATCAAAGGATCTTCACGGGATTCTCCATGATATCCTATCGTTATCGTCTGTGTTTATTGCTTGCTCTTTCAATTTCGTCGTTAGAGATCAAAATCGGCTTGCTGATGCTATTGCTAAGGAAGCACTTGCTTCGTTTTGTAACCAACCCTAAGTTAATGAAACCGAGTATTTTGTTCAAAAAAAATTGGAATAGACTGGAAACCGGTTCTGGATACCAAAATATGAGTCAAAATTCTAAAACTCATGCAGTTTACAAAAAAAACAGATAAAAAATGTTGGCAAACCCTTTTTCGTATATGCGCCGGCCCAGAGCTAAAGTTAAATCTTATACTACCTCCATTTCGTTTAAGGTTTTTTCACACAAATTAAAAAAAACATTAAATTTTATGTTTTACCCTTTATTAGTATATTTTATAAAAAATTTCATTGGCCAGAACATTAAAACAGTAGGGGTAAAACTGGAATTTTCACAAAACATTTGCATTGAAAACCTAAAACGACAACTATTATGAAACAAAATTTAAATCCTAAAACGACAACTAAATTGAAACGGAGGGAGTATTTATTTTAAAGGGCATAAAAATTTCAAAAACGCCTTGTAATCTAGTTGTATTTGGTACCTTTAAAGGTAGACGGTGGTGGGTTCAATCCTTTGCAACCGTAGATTTTAACATTTTCTATTTTTATTTGTTGTAAATGTATATTAAATTTTGTTGGGTTTTAAGCATGATGAAGTTTTGGACCGGTCTTGCATATATGGGTTTTAACATTTATTCTGGTTACGAACCACTGATTTCAAAGTTTTCACTGAACCTAGTATTTCTAGAAAAATTTCATACAATACGCCTTATTCTTTAAAACGAACCACCGATTTCAAAGTTTTCACTCCTAGTATTTCTAGAAAATTTTCATACAATACGCCTTATTCCTTAAAAATAATAATTTCTTGTATTGAACAGTGAACGGCGGCTTAAAATTTTCAGATAGACTAGGAAAATGTCATCCTCGCATTTATGGCTATTTTGTTTTGTGGCTATGGTCGATTTTAATGCAAGCATCATCATTGTAGGTACCAACATGTCCGCCAATTATTTAACAATCACATATGCAAGTGGACTATACAGAATAGTCCAATTTGTTGAATCGTCAAATCTTTCAATATAAGAACGAGGCCATTTAAGAATATGTTTAACAACTACAGATGCAATTATTTCTTTAACCATAATATTAATTGTTGTATTGATGATATCTTGTTGCTTTTGTGCTATACAGTTTGAATTTAAAACTCATAAAACGCTTGCATAAGTTCTTGAAAACCTTCGGTTTTAATGTGTGTAAAAGGGCATAAAGATTGATAAACACAACAATATAAGCAAACAGAGAATTTCGCTGTTTTGTAGCAAAAACACTAGCTAATGATAGAAAGGTTTTTCACTACCTTAAGAAAATGACGCGATGATCATGAAACCTTCTACGGTAAACGAAATTATGCGTAGTTTGGTGTTTTTGTCATGAGGCCCTGGCCTGCTTATTAAATGTGGTGTATCTAATTACCTTGGCCCAAAATTAATTTTCTTAAAGATGTATTGGTTTTAAATTTAGTTAAATTCTAATTTTAATCAAGCTATATCATTGATCTTATAGAAATAATATTAAGTTTTGCGTAATTAATTTTTTTTTAAAATATATTTTATGCTCGTTAATAAATTATTAAGATATATTTTTTTTCTTTTACATAAGATATTTAAAGACTTTTCCTTTTCAATATACATTTTAGAAAACGTTAGATATTTTTAGTTTTTCCACTAACCACACAATTTTAAATTTCACAAAAAAAAAAAAAAAAAATTTAGTTATATGTCAAAGTTAAAGCTGCCAAAATCTATTTCGTTACACGCCAAATTTCGCCAAAATACTGAAGACTTTTTGTTTTTCAATGTGTATTATTTTCTTTGATATGAAACCAAAGCACAGTAGTCATATGATCAATTTCAAACTGGTTTTAACTTTTAATTCAAAAAGTCGGTTAACGATACTAGAAAAGAAGAGTATATATTGATAACTAACGTCACAGTCGCATAAGAACAACACATGAACTTGAAAACAACAACAAAATAAAAATCAAACCGATTGCAAGAGAGTCTCGCAGAGAAATCTTGATCTTATTATACTATTTACACATCTTCAATACTTCACCACTGATGTGTTGTTGGGACCAGCTCAAGAGGGACTTTCTTGGCAATGACGAAAGCTCCAGCTTCTTCCATGTCTATGTCTTCAATTTTCATTCCATCAGGCAAACTCCAATCAAAGAAGTAGAGAACGTTAAGTAAACCGAGCTCGACGATAGTTATACCCGTAGCCATTCCAGGACAAATCCTGCGACCAGCACCAAAAGGCAACAACTCGTAATGTTGACCCTTATATTCGACAGGACTATCGATAAATCTCTCGGGCTTGAAATCGTTAGGGTTTTCCCAGCAATTAGGATCGCGTCCTATTGAATAAGTGTTGATCTCGATCATCGTGTTCTTGGGGATATTGTAGCCTTGAATCTTTAAGTCGGACATTGTCTCTCTTGGAAGCAAGAGAGGAGCTGGTGGATGTAATCTGAATGTTTCTTCGATCACAAGTTTCAGGTAATGAACCTTTTCGAGATCTTGTTCCGTGATTTTTTCTTTGTTGTCTCCAAGAGTTGCTCGAATCTCTTGTTGAAGTTTCTTCATCACTCTCGGATGTCTAGCTAGCTCTGTCATCGCCCATATCATTGTGATCGCTCCTGCGTTAACTCCGGCTAAAAACACATCCTGATCATATAGAAAACACACAAATATTAATTACATATTTGACTCTCTTTTTTTAATCAAGGAAAAAAAAAGTTTGTGATTCCTTTAAAGGAACCGACGACTTTGCTCTCTTTATTGCAATACTCACCGACATGACTCCTTTAAGATGATCATAGGTGACTTCAAAGGAACCGACTTTGCTCTCTTTATTGATCATATCTAACATGACACCAATGATGTCTGAATGATCTTGAGATTGCCCGGGCTTCAAGTGATCATCGATCACATGTTGGAAGAAATTACTAAGTCTGGCAAAGGCTTTGTGCAACTCCGAATGTTGGCCAGAGATCCGGTCTATAACCCACCCAAGACCGGCGGGGAAGAAGTCAGTGAACGCGAATGAGCCAAGATTGGTCTCAGACTCGAGCACAAGCTCTTCAACTTTGTCCATATCGACAAAATCGCACTCATGGAAGTTCTGTCCAAAAGCGAGTCTACATATGATGCTAGCAGTATAAGAGAAAAGCGCTTTTCTCAAATCCACCATAGTTTGTGTCTCAGCAGATTTCGAGAGTTTCTTGACAAGGAATTCACTCTCTTCTTCTCTTATATACCTGAAAGCCTTGACCTTTTTCGAGCTAAAGAGCTCGAGCATCGCAAGCTTCCTCATCTCTCTCCAGTCATCACCGTATTGAGCGAAGCCAATGTCTTTGTAGTTGTAAGAAAACAACTTGGTCGCGGTTAGCTTTGGTCGGGTACAAGTCTCGAGATCATGAGTCTTGAGAACTTCTTCAGCTGCTTCTCTTGTGGAGACCACAACCACAGGGACCACACCGAAATGTAGAAACATCACGGGTCCATAGTTTTGAGAGAGTTTATGAAAAGATCTATGGAGAGATTTTCCAAGTTGGTGCAAGTTTCCGATAATCGGAAGACCAAGAGGTCCAGGAGGAAGCTTCCCTTTAGAAGTTGAGAGCCTTTTGAAGAAGATAAAAAAGAGAGGCAAGAGCAAAAGGAGATAGAGAAAGATCGACATTCTTGATTTGATCTGTTTTTTTTTTTTTCTAAGTTATTGTTTATGTTTTGGAGTGAAGAGCAATGAGTTGTGGATGGTACGTTATTTATAGACATTAATGTAGTGGTAAAGTTTTGACTAAATGATAGTTTTGTATTTATTGGATTGGAAAAGTTTATGGCAACTTACACTGAGACACGTGGTTGAAGGCACAAACACAAATGCGTCCTTTTTTTTTTTGTTGTTTCTCGCTTTGGCAATAATGAATAATAATACATTTTTTTATTGGGAACTTCACTGAAAAAAAAAAACTTCAAAATTCTTCCGATGGCTCAATCAATCAAATATTATCGTAGAAACTAGAAAATCACCGTCATGTCTCCGTTGAACCAATTGGCTTGAATGGACCCGGAAACGATATACCGATTTCTAGAACACATCTTATAACTCTTATATCTAGATGCATGGAATGATTATAAATAGAGAGACTAAAATGTTGTAATAATATTAACTTGAATATTAAATGTTTGGATTTTTGCTATTGATGTTCTGCTTTTTTTTTTAACAAAACGTTGCACCACTTGTAAAAACGTATATTTTTGTTTTAAATTTAATTTAACATTAAATTCAAAAAAAAAATGTTTGGATTTTTTTTTATGTTTACAAAAATCTACATATATAGTTAGTGTTTGATATTTCCATTTCATAAAAGATTATATATATTTATGAAACCTAAAAGCATTGAAAGCATATGAGTCTAAATAATCAAAGTTACTCAATAGTAAAATAAATATTATCTTCAAAAATTTCAAGCAAATCTGCATATATAATTAGTTTTTTTGGTACTGATCATATATGATTAATCGATGGAATTACCATGTTTTTTATATTAGGTAAAAAAAATAAGATCCAAGATTGTGGTTTGTAGTCTAATTAACAGATTATTTATGTTATTCTCTATTAAGTTATTTGAGTTGTATGGACAACGGAGACAAATCACATTCAAAATAACCAAAAACCAAAAATTCCTTTGCCTAGGAAATAAAAGAGAAAGAAAATATTCTTCTTTCTTTTTTCACTACATGAAATGCAGCGTTTTCCTACGGCCAAAATTGTAGGAGATTGGTAGGAAATAGACGTTTCCTACCAATATCCTACGAAAAATATTTGTAGGGAATAGCCCGTATGAAATAGAATTTGGTAGGAAATTCGATAGAAATTTCCTACGAAACATGTTCGTAGGAAATCGCGTAGGAAATTTCGTAGAAAATTCGTAGGATCTTTTTCACCATTATCCTACCAAATTTGCTGTTCTCCTTTGGAGATCATTTTGGGAAAAATCATTGTGTTTACTTTTATATAACATTTCTCAGACCTTCATATAAACAAAACATTACACAAATCAAACCATAAACAAATTTTCTTAAGATACTATTATATATACTACATGCCATTATCTTGTAAACAAAAACATGCTTAACCTAAAATTGTGTAGACTCCAATTAAACGTGTGATACATTTATTGTTCACTTTAACGTACGCCTAATGTTTTTTTGAACAATCTCCACATATTTTGGTCTTCCAATTAGTGTTTGGGTTTTGGAGCTAGTAAGACCATCTCTAAAAACCGAAGAAGACTATAATCTTTTTTATTTTTTTGTCAACGGAAAATACTATAATCTCATAAGGTTAATTATGATGGAAATGGTTTTAGACATTGTATTTGCAGTCAGTTATACTAATACTAATATTAAAACCAAAATCAATCATTATTATTTTGTTGGTCAAATGTTCATAATACATATACTTTGATCTGAAAAAATAGACCGTAAATATAATATTGTTACAGTTAAATCTCTATAAATTAATATTTTAATAAATTGATACATTCTTTCGATTTTGGTAAATTTTATAATTTTATAAAATAGTAAAATATAATAGTTTCGATATTATTGAGTTATAGAAATTTTATTGTATTTCATTCAATCGGTATAGATTATATATACCTCCTCAGTTCTAATAACAAAATTAATAAAAGTCAAGCGTTGATTGGTATGACTTATGAGATTTATCTCGGTCGAGACGTGACCTAGCTTCTCCATCTCCCGCACAACTATACGAGGTTTTATAACATTTTGTTATTTGTATATGAGTCGTTGGTCAAACAAACTTCAAAATGAAAAGCAAAATTTCTTTTTCTGGTTTTAAGGTTTACAAAAAACCAAATTATATGTGACGTAGTGTTGTGTTTTCTTTTATTTTGGTTGATTACGTTTACGTAGGACTATGTTATCTATTCACGTACTTCATTACTACGAAATTTGAATTTTACTGTATTTTTTCCATTCAACAGTTGCGTATATCTTGACTTTAAACGGTGAAACAATTATTTTCTTTATGAAAAAAGTCACAAATGTTGTCGCGGCGTTCTTAATTTACGTAAGCTACGTTACTTTTCCCAATTATTTAAATGATATATAATTGATCTTGATCATGTGCGAGAGAAGTTTATACCTTATATTTGTATTTGAATGTATTACTTACTTATTATTATTAGTACTCCTGAAAATTATCTTGATACTTTTACGTCTTTTTTTTTTGTTGAAAAGGCTTAATGCCGGGTATACTCGTGTACTTCACATTTTCATATATACTTGTGCTGTTTAATTATATAAATACGGATGAATAAGATATATATAGTTCAAACATTTGACCGTCAATTTAATCTCTCGAGGTTGGAAACAAAAAATTTAATCTTTCGAGAAGTGTTTTTTCTTTATATATGTAATATTATCTCTCGAAAAGTTTTTAGTGGAAAAGTGTTGGGATTTTCGATCTTCGTCTTGCCATTTGTTTGTGAGTGTATTAATTTGTAGATTTTACACTACAAAAAAGTCAATTGTATTGACTATTTTTTATAAAAAATTAAATAATATTAATTTAAATTACTTATATATAACGACTTTGCGTTTTTTATAGAATCAAAAAAGTGAAAACTTAATAAACAATTATTAATTTTTTAAAAATAATCGTTTTGTTTTTATATTAATTACTGAAAATAAAAAAAAAAATTCTTAAAAATTAATTAAATACTCTTATATTAATTTTAACATCAATTGTAAACAACTGATATTAAGAGGGTGTTATTGGTTTGTGATTTAAATAGAGTTTTAGTGACTTTAAATATTATGTAGAATCTGTTGTTATTCAATCAAGATTTTTTAAAAGTTTGTTAAAGTTTGGTGTTATTAGTTTAAGATTTGTAAAAAGCAATCTAAAATCTTTATAAATCTGGAGTTATTGAATTCATACTTTTATAAAGTCATTAAAAGTTTTGTGTTATCCGATTACAACAAAAGAATCTATGATTGTTAATGAATTAAATTATTATAATATTGGTTTATGACTTTCTACACTTTTTTTCACAAAACAAAGTCATGAAAAATATCATCAAAATATAGAGATTGTTTGGGAAACTTTACAAGATTATGAAATACTAATCAACAAGATTATAGAAAACTCTCAAAAACTCTCCAACAATAGTTTATAATCTTTCATTTGCTTATTTTCTATGATTTTATTAAAGTCATCAAAATTCCATGTAAATTAGGAACCAATAACACCCCCTAAATACTTAACATTACTTACTATAACCGTTGCAAATATTAATGCCAATTTAATAAATGGATGTGAAAACTAACATTATTTTAATTGAATGATGTATATAAACAATGATTATTATAACTGATTCAAAAAATTATTTAAACCAATGCAAATATTTACATCAGCATTTCTAATATTTAACGTAAGAAAGTTTTATATCAATTATAACCGATATAAATTTAAAAATAAACGTTGCAAAACATTGTTTTTATCGAAGTAGTAAGCCTAACAAAGTTTTTTTTTTTTTTTAAGCCTAACAAAGCTTCTTATTGAAAAACTCAAATACCTTTGGCTTTATTTATTTTATTTGATAATCAATCCGTGAGAATTCTATATATAGAATGCTTGAGAGTGGTGGCATGTTGATAATGATTTTTATTACTTGGAGCAATGTAAGGATATTATATGCATAAGAAAACTTGCAGTGATCATATTAATTGAACCGTGAATCTCTTCGTTTCTTGGAAGTGCAAACAGTTGATGGAGTTAGGTTTTACTAGGAAGCCCCAGGGAAAAGTATCCATTTTGATCTGTTGTGTTTAAGATCGATAATTTAGATAACCAAAATTTTATACCGCAAAGTAAATACTAAATATTCGTTAAAACACGAAACAAATTACCAATACTAATATTTAACTATACATGTATATGCGCTCCATTCTGCATGCTCTGCTATATACATATAGATTATTGTATTATATGGTTATTTTATCTTTGTATTCATATTAAAATTTTAAATTCAACAACGTAACTGAAAAATGTGTTAGAATTTAACAAATTAAGAAAGAAATATAACTTATATATAGTTATTTTATCTTTGCATTTTAGTTACCACTTTTTAACTTTTATATATTTGTACTCTTACCGAGCATATCAGATATACAAACGAATATATTGGTTCACAAATATTACAAATGTGTATGATATATTGATGTCCGTTTGTCGTCTATCCCTATATAATCTACAAACGGAGAGAAAAAAAAATCCGTCGAAAATCGATGGAACTTGTAATAACAGTACGTAGTTTTGACGGGCAGTTTTGTTTTACTAACAGTATTATTTGAATGATGGAATGCTAATGTTGAACTTAATCACGTGTAGTCTATATTTTTCTAAGGTATCTACGGTTACTTTCTATATGCTATTGTGCTTAGTACATAAAATAAAAAGATTGCGTGAATTTAGTCTTCTGCGGAGTGCAAAAATATTATAAAAGAAATATGCGCGTAATCCGCCCATTTACCTTGATGGCTTTCAAGCAAATATATTATTAGTTAATTTCACTTGTCCTTTTTTTTTATAAATCCTATCGATTGATCCGGTTAGTTCCGGTAGAAACGCACCGAAGTGTTTTAGAGTGAACTTCTCCCAGAAAGGCCACCACAATGTCTGTCCCGAGTTTGGAATGCTTTCCGACTAATGATAGGAGATAGTCAGACCGCCTGCATTTCTGACTACTATGTAAATCAATTGGTCCAAACCCCAACTGACAGACTTCCCAAACAAATTTTTCCAAATAAATGTTCACTTGTTCTTTAGTTTTTTTTTTCTAGTATATTATCAGTTTCCTGGATTAATTAATACAGAGAATATGCCTCTCATACTTTCCCATTCATATTAAAAGAAACTAATAAACTACTAAGAGAATAGGACAATATTTTAGTTGATTCTTATGAAAAGTTGCATTTTAATGTAATAAACAGTGATTTTTTCTTTTGAATTTTAACATTAAATTTAAAAAAAAAAAAAACTAATAAGAATGTGTAAAAATAAAGAGATTAACCTTCAATGATAAGTTGAAACTTGAAACTCCTGTATGCCTAGGCCGGCTTAAAGTAAAATTATAATACATGATTTTAGTTGAGCGACAAACTGGGTTTTTAAGCCGGTTTAATGTAAATTTGCGGCGGCTATCCAATTCTAGATGTTTTAGCCACCGGACATCGGAGATTTATTGTCACATGCGTATGTATTAATGGACCACGCACATTTTGTCTGATACCTTTCTTATTAAACCTTATACAACTTCTGACCTATTAAAAAAAAAAAATAATACAATGAAAATCTTTGACTTTAGTCAACGTGAAGCCCATATCACGTATCTATATATAGCTCCTCTTGCGACTCAATATTCTTCATCGAAAACGCAAAACAACTTCACAATAACACACAACAACAACAACAAAACATCAAATGTCGATCTTTCTCTGTTTCCTCCTGCTCTTACCTCTCTTTCTTGTTTTCTACAAGAGGCTTTCACCGTCAAAAGGGAAGCTTCCTCCGGGACCTATAGGTCTTCCGATCATCGGAAACTTGCACCAACTTGGAAAATCTCTTCACAGATCTTTTCATAAACTCTCCCAAGTGTATGGACCCGTGATGTTTCTTCGTTTCGGTGTGGTCCCTGTGGTAGTGTTCTCTACAAAAGAAGCTGCCGAAGAAGTTTTAAAGACTCATGATCTCGAGACTTGTACCCGACCAAAGCTATCTGCGACCGGGTTGTTTTCTTACAACTACAAAGATATTGGCTTTGCACAGTACGGTGAAGACTGGAGAGAGATGAGAAAGCTTGCGATGCTCGAGCTCTTTAGCTCAAAAAAGTTAAAGGCTTTCAGGTATATTAGAGAAGAAGAGAGTGAATTGCTAGTCAAGAAAGTCTCGGACTCTGCTCAAACACAAACTTTGGTGGATTTGAGAAAGGCTCTTTTCTCTTATACCGCTAGTATCGTATGTAGACTCGCTTTTGGACAGAACTTCCATGAGTGCGATTTTGTCGATATGGATAAAGTTGAAGAGCTTGTGCTTGAGTCTGAGACCAATCTTGGCTCATTCGCATTCATTGACTTCTTCCCTGCCGGTCTTGGGTGGGCTATTGATCGGATATCCGGTCAACATTCGAGGTTGCACAAAGCCTTTGCTAGACTAAGTAATTTCTTTCAACATGTGATCGATGATCATTTGAAGCCTGGGCAATCTCAAGATCATTCAGACATCATTGGTGTCATGTTGGATATGATCAATAAAGAGAGCAAAGTCGGCTCCTTTAAAGTCACCTATGATCATCTAAAAGGAGTCATGTCGGTGAGTTCAACTTTTTTTTAAGAAACTTTATGTGACGGTTCATAAACTTTCATTTAGATAATGTAACTAATTAACATTTGTTTGTTATATGATCAGGATGTATTTTTGGCCGGAGTGAACGCAGGAGCGATCACAATGATATGGGCGATGACCGAGTTAACAAGACATCCGAGAGTGATGAAGAAACTTCAACAAGAGATTCGAGAAATACTCGGAGACAACAAAGAAAAAATCACGGAGCAAGATCTCGAAAAAGTTCACTACCTGAAGCTTGTGATCCAAGAAACATTCCGACTACACCCACCCGCTCCTCTCTTGCTCCCAAGAGAGACAATGTCTGATGTCAAGATTCTAGGTTACGACATTCCCAAAAACACAATGATCGAGATCAACACTTACGCAATAGGACGTGATCCCAATTGCTGGACAAACCCTAACGAGTTTATCCCTGAGAGGTTTGTTGATAGCCCTATCGACTACAAGGGTCAGCATTTTGAATTGTTGCCATTCGGTGGAGGCCGTAGGATCTGTCCCGGGATGGCCACAGGGATGACCATCGTGGAACTTGGCCTCCTTAACGTTCTTTATTTCTTCGATTGGAGTTTACCCGATGGAATGAATATTGCAGACATTAACATGGAAGAAGCTGGAGCTTTCGTCATTGCCAAGAAAGTCCCACTTGAGCTCGTGCCAGCTCTTCATTACTGATCGCTGATGCCTTGAGAACACTATACGGTCGTCATATGTGTTTATGTAGCTATTTTGTAGTTCTACGATTCGTTTATCTGTTACTTCTTTTGTATATGTTCCCATTATTGTGTCATTTGTTTGTTTATTAAAATTTGTAAGTCTTGTTTAGATTTATCTTTATTATTTTATCAAATAAATATAACTCCTTTATATATGGTTTAATTTTATCCGACTTGTCGAACTGGATTTTTTTTTTTTTCAATAATCCAGGTATCCGGGCCGAAGCCCGACTAGCACCAAGGCTTGAGGCCGGTTCTCTTTCGAGCCGTCCGAACCCAATGTTTAATGTGTTTCCTGAAGGTCCGAAGGGGCCAGGTGAAAACATCGGTGGCCAACGGGAATCGAAATGCGGGCACCATATTGGAATTACCCCTTCAAGTACCACTAGCCCAACCCACGTTGGTTGTCGAACTGAATTTCTTACACACATACGTGACATATTGACTCTTTTGTTTTGACGTAAGAACAAATAAAATAAAATTATTATAAGTCAGATATACATCAAATAATATTTCTGAGTTAAATTACAGATCGACTAAGATTGTTGACCAAAACTATATTTTTAATAAGTTTTAGTAAAAAAAAAAGTTCAAACAAAGTCGTGATTAATTCAAGATTATAAAACACCAACGTGCCATTGAACTTTAAAACCGTCACATAAAGTGTGCTTTGGCCTTTGGGTTATCTCATTATCGGTTTTTTTTTTTTTTTTTTTTTTTTTTGTTTAATATATATATATATATATCTCTCATTATCGTTTGTGAACATTTACTAATGAAATTAATTTTTGCGTGCAATATATACAACATATGATCCATCACATAACTGTAGAAAGATAGATGTTGAGGCAATTGAAAAGAACTTCTTTTCCTTTATTAAGAATCACTTAAACAATCTACAAGATATGTTTAATCAGATTTACACGACGTTGACACAACTCGTCACTGACCAATTCTTAATCTACCCAAACTCACAACACAGCAACAGCTATGCATACACTCTGTTCACTCACCAAGAACCCTAACAGCTTCTAGCCTAGTACTTGAGATTCACAGAGGTAGTCTAAACGCCCACCTAAACCTAAAGTATAGACTGCGAATATAAAGGAAGCGTCATAGACAACTTTCCTAATCTTCAGATCACACCAAATCTTCTTTCCTTGATTTGATCGTATCTTCAATACACCGAATAACTTGAGCATCACGTTCTGGAAACTTCCAATCACCAATCACTGCTCGCCACGTCATCTTCATTTAATGTCTCACAGTTTCCCGCATACAGCTCTCTCCTGTGCTCCACAGGATCTTCCTGTAGCCCGACATCCATATGTCTTCAATCTCCCCCTTTTTACCTGAATGTGACACCTCAAGCTCCACAGCTACCTGTACGGGTTAGTTTGCCAAGATACACACCAAGAAGCACCAATGTATATTTCAAACTCAAAAGAATTCTGAAATAACATTCATTAGCAAAACCAAAACTGTTGGGGATTCAAGTTTCAACACCCAACAGAAGCAAATACAGAACAGTAGTGCAAAATCTATCAAAGACACAATACACATTTGCTCCCCCTTATTACTAGGCCTAGTCTAAACTAATCAGCCACTAGTCTCCTCATCACTAGGATCCCCAGCAGGATCTCCATCAAAATTACCATAAAAATTACCATATTCTCCCCCTGCTTGAGTGCACATTCATGTAAAAACCAAAAACCATCAAGTTATGCAGGAAAATCAGATGAAGGAGAACAAACACTTACCATCCAGGCGACGCTTCATCCAAGATAGCTACAGACAAGAGATCTGCAAGATCATCATGAAGCAAGGTCCTTGATGTCTGAAATGGAGGTGCAGCATTCTAAGCTTCAACAGTCTCAACCCTGAATACTCCAAGAGAACGAGATAATGTATCAGTTGGCAGAGCCAGAACAGCTCTCTGGGAGGACAACACCATATCTATCAGCAGAAGACGATCATGCCGCAGAGTAGTCCGATTTGTGCCAAGAATCCAGTACACAAATGTAAGACTGTCAGCACAAGTTTACAACTCAGCAAGATTGGCATAAAAACTCCTTCACAACCAAGCAGACCTGTAATTGCATCAAAAACTCGAAATTCCAATAAGATACATAAACCGGTTTTGACCAGTGAGATAACCAATTCACCCTTGCTTTGAAATTCGTTTTAACATGCACTCTGTACTGTACAGATTGACACTGTTGAGCACAAGAATATCACAAGCAACCACTAAACAACCAGAGGTAGGAAGTGACCATGTCAGAGATCCAAAATTGTTTTTCATGAAACACTTTATTTGAAAATTAAGATCATTTTGGAGTCACTCAGTAAATGTATCACTTCATACCTGTGAACACAGAGTTCCTGAAGTAACATGATATGCACAGGAGCAAGCACATCGAACTGTAAAACCGGATTCAACCCACCAGCTCAGTGAGGTAGCTATTTCTCTGTTGAGGAGCTTTCACACACACTGCTTCACTCAGACTAGTCTACACATCTGCATACTCAGCCAGAAAACATTCTCAAAACAGCTTTCAGCTCCTTTTTTTATTATTTTTTCTTCATCAAAAATGTAGGCGAATAGTGGTATCACGGGAAATTTTCCTAACCTCGCTTCCATCTTTGTGTGATCATCCCTTCGAAGTAAAATAATGAGGTCATAGGAAATTTTCCTACCTCTTTACTCAAAAGAAAATCATTTCATCTTTTCATTCCTTTGTTTTTTTTTTCTTTTCTCTTGTTTTTCAATGACCAAGCTTGATATGCTGAGTACACAGGAAAGCCATTTCTGTTGAACATCGTCGAAGCCAAGTATGCAGAGCAGCTCTTTTTCTGAGAGAAGTTGCCAATAGGAGGTTTTTCTTGCTGTAGTCATTACTACAGTAACCAAGGGATTTAAAAGCTGCTGTACTCCTGTGCAGTGATCCTGTTCCAACAATCCCTTAGTGACAAAAACAGGTCAGTTTTCACAAATACCAAGTGACTTTTGCAAATTTGTGAAAGTGCTTAAATCAAGTGGTTTAGTAAAAATATCAGCCAATTGTTTTTTAGTATCGATATAAAGGATCTCAATAAGTTTCCCTTCAACTAGCTCTCTGATGAAATGGTGCCTGATATCAATGTGCTTAGTGCGAGTGTGATGAACAGGGTTCTTTGTAATATCAATAGCACCTGTATTATCACAGTGTATCAACAGAATTTCAGAAGTCATACCATAATCTGCAAGCATTTGTTTCATCCATAGTAGTTGAGTACAACAGCTACCCATGGCAATATACTCAGCCTGAGTGGATGAAATGGAAACGCAGTTCTGCTTCTTGCTATGCCAAGCTATCAGGTTGTTTCCCAGAAAGAAACATCCTCTAGATGTGCTTTGTCTGCCATCAAGACATCCTGACTAATCTGCGTCACAGAAACCTGCAAGATTATGGTTAGTGTGCTTGGTATAGAACAAACCATATTCAACTGTACCTTTGACGTATTTGATAATACGTTTCACAGCATTTAGATGAGAAACATGTGGACAGGCTTGGTAACGGGCACACAGACCAACACTGTAGCACAGATCTGGTCTGCTTGCTGTCAGATACAGTAAACTCCCGATTATGGCTCTGTAGAGTTTCTGATCAACTGCCTGTCCTGCTTCATCTTTTGTCAATTTCGAGGCAGTGCTCATGGGAGTGCGTGCCGTCTTGCTGGTTTGCATGTCGAATCTCTTGATAAGATTCTTCGCATACGTGCTCTGAGAGATGAAGATTCCTTCGGCTGATTGTGTGATCTGATGACCTAGGAAGTAATTCAGCTCTCCCACCATGCTCATTTCAAACTCAGTTGTCATAGTTTTAACAAACTTGTTCACCAGCTCTGTTTTGGTGCTGCCAAACACTATATCATCTACATATACTTGGACAATCAGTAGATCAGAGTCTGATCTGAAGATGAACAGAGTCTTGTCTACACTACCTCTCTGAAATCCATTGTCCAGCAGAAACTGTGCAAGTCGTTCGTACCATGCACGTGGAGCCTGTTTCAGTTTGTACAGTGCTTTCTTCAGCTTGAACACGTGTGCAGGAAAGTGAGGATCCTCAAATCCTTTCGGCTGAGCTACATAGACTTCTTCTTTGAGCAGTCCATTCAGAAAGGCACTCTTTACATCCATCTGATGTAGTTTGATTTTCAGCACACAGGCAATGCCTAACAGCAGCCTAATGGATTCAAGACGTGCTACCGGTGCAAATGTCTCATCGAAATCAACTCCTTCTACTTGAGAGTACCCTTGAGCCACCAGACGAGCTTTGTTGCGAACAACATTGCCAGATTCATCAATCTTATTCTTGAAAATCCATTTTGTCCCTACAACATTCACATGTGCAGGTCTAGGTACTAAGTCCCACACATCATTTATGGTGAACTGATTTAGTTCTTCTGTGCATGCACCATACCATAATTCATCATCAAGAGCTTCTACAATGGTCTTAGGCTCAATTTCAGACACAAAACAAGAGTATTGCAGCATTTCATGAAAATCCAGCTGAACACCTCTGGTCGTTCTTTCATTCAGCTCTCCTATCACATCAGCAGCTGTGTGATTTTTGTGGACTGTTAGCTTTTTAGGTGGATGCGTTACAGGAGATGACCGTGATTCACTGTCTTTCTCAGCACCATCAGTTTCGTCTTCAGCAACTACTGTAGGTTCATCTATTTCTGATGCTTCAGCGTTCTTGGTTGCAGGTTCTTCAGTAACTTTTGCCGCAGGTTCTACTTGTTCTGTTTCAGACTCATCATCTTGTACAGGAGGTAACAAAAATCTTGACTTGTCATCAAAAACCACATTAACAGCATCACCAATTATCTTGGTTCTCTTGTTGTACACCCTGTAAGCTGAACTATGTGTTGAGTATCCCAAAAAGATTCCTTCATCACTTCTTGAAGCGAATTTTCCCAACTGCTCTTTGTCATTAAGAATGTAGCATATGCACCCAAAGACACGAAAATGGCTTAGATTCGGACTTTTGCCTTTCCAGATCTCATACGGTGTTGTCTTTGTGCCATGTTTCACATACACCCTGTTGATGATGTAACACGCAGTACTAACAGCTTCTGCCCAGAAACCTTCAGATATGTTGTTTCCATGTATCATAGCTCGTGCCATCTCCTGCAGTGTTCTGTTCTTTCTTTCAACAACTCCATTCTGCTGAGGAGTTCTTGGAGCTGAATACTGGTGTCTGATTCCCTGTGATTGACAGAACTTCTC